TGTTCCTATCACTTCTAACTTAGCTCCATATCTTTGCGTAACATGGTTGCTTTCAGGAAGTCAGCTCCGGTATTCCTTATGGTCATTTATCTCGGGTCAGATTTCATGCACCAGTTCAACGTAATTTGCTGCTATGCTTCTAGTGGACAGCAAACCCATCCCCACCCCGACCCAGCACAAAGAAGCTCAATTCTTTCCTCCTACAATGTACTTCTGACTTGTTCCCATCCTATACAAGATGAATGTGAGAAGGTAGGCGCTGCTTAAGAGTCACTTGAGTACCTTAGGAGGACTTACTACATGTGTGTATGTGTATGCACATTTACAGTATTACATACATGTGTATATGTGTTATATCTCTATGTCAGCCTCATTGCATATTAGCTTACATTTCTATAATACTCTAAAGTTTACAAAGTAAATTCCTTAGACTTAAAGAGATAAAGTGCCTAACCTGGTAAGTATCAGAATACAGCTTTGAATTGAAGTCTCCTGGGTGTAGGTTTCTCCGTATTTTCACTACAACACACCGCCTTTCAGTAATCTCAACAAGTCACCATCCTTGTTGTCATCCTTGACTCCTTACTTGCCCTCACTCCAGGTAACTAATTTGTTGTCAAGTCTGGTTTTGACCTTCACAATATGTCCCCTTCCCTCTGCCCCCACACTCACCACCTTGGTGCAGGCCTTCATCACTTCATATAGTCATGCCTAGACTTTTGTAATGTGGGAGGTTAGTCTCCCTGCTACAAATCTTTTCCAGTTCCAACCCATTCTTCATTTAGCTACCAAGGGGATTTTCCTAAAGTATGGGTCTGACCAGTTACCTCCCTACTTAGCAAATTACCTTACTGTTGCCAGATCAAATATGGCTTTTAAAGCCTTTCAAAACTTAATCCCTTTCTGCCTTCCCAGTCTTTTTACATTTAACTCCCCTCTGTGTACTATGTGATTCATCAACATGACAATTCTGTTATACACATCTTGTTTTTAAATGGCACCTACCTGTTCATGATGACTTTTCCTAATTTTCAAGATTAAAATGGCCAAAACAACACACAGTAGGTAATAAGCAAAAGTATGGCCCTTCCATAGCCATCCTGCTGACTTGTATTTCCTTCTGATCTCTAGTTTTCTTCTGTGTATTTTTAAAAGAATCCTTAAATGAGCCAGTTTTATTTCTTTTCTTCTTTTTTTATTTAGCAACTCTATCACTAACTATCACTAACCCTTCCCTAACTCCCCACACCCAAACTGAAAAAAAAAGTAAATAGAATCCTTATTACAAACATGCCTAGACAAATAAATATGTGACCACATTGGCTGTGTCTAAAAATATACTGCATTCTGCACTTTGATTCCATTCTCTCTGTCAGGAGGTAGGTAGACTTCTTTGTCATCAGTCTTTTGGAGTCAAGGTTGGTTATTGCAGGGAACACTGTTCCTAAGTCTTTCAAAGTTATTTTTCTTTACAGTTTCCACCATCAATTTCAAAACTACAAGATGTCAGAGTCATGGAAAATAGTTCACCTGAAAAAGATCTGGAGATTTCAATGGATTGCAAGGTCAATATGAATCAGAAGTGAAATAAGGCTAATTCAGTCTTAGACAGAGACATAGTATTGAGGATCAGGGAGGTGATAATCTTCCCTGTTCAGATTCTATCTGTCAGATTGCATTCATTTCTTAGTATCACATTTTAGTAAAGACTAGTATTCTAGATAATCTAGATAAGGTCTATCATGTTGGATAAGGGCTCCAAATTCATCCTACATGGAAAAACTGTTGAAGGAATTTGAGATGTTTCATTTGGAAAAGAGAAGGTTAGTGGGGGGAAACATGACAACTGTCTTCAAATACTTTAAAAGCTGTCAGTTGGAGGAAGGGAGAGGTAAGGGAATAAGCATTTATATAGTGCCTGCTATGTGTCAGGCACATTTACAAATGTCTTATTTGATCCCAACAACCACGTGAGGTAAGTGCTATTTCGCAGTTGAAGAAACTGAGGCAAACAGAGGTTAAGTGACTTGCATAGGGTCACATAGCTAATAAATGTCTGACTGATTTGAGCTTAAGTCTTCCTGATTGTAGAGCCAGTGCTCTATCCACTCCACGACTAGCTACCTCTACTATGCCACCAGCTCTGATCTTAATTGGGTGCAATAGGTGGATGCAAGGAAAACCTTTCTGACAATTAGAACTATCCCCAAGCTGAATATGTCAGGTGGCAGAGGTAGCAGGTTCCCCTGCTCTTAAAACCTTCAATCAAAGACTGGTAGATTGCTTATTGGGTATGTTGTACAGGGGATTCTAGTTCAGGTGTAGGTTGGGCTAGATGTCCTCTGAAGTCTGTTTCAACTCTGACATTCTGTAATTCTGTAAAATACTTCTAGTGCTAGGGAGCTCATTACCTTATGTGAGAGCTAATTCCAGTTTCAGGTCACTAAACATAAATGAATAACAAATCAAAATTTGCTTTCCTGTAACTTCCACATGTAGGTCTTAGTTCTGTCCCCTGGAGCAACACAGAATAAGTTTAATCTCTCTTCTGTATAAAGGACCTTCAAATACTTTTAAACCTATTCTATCCTCACCAAGACTTTTCTTCTCTACACTGTGTCCAATTATTTCAACATATGTTCCCCATTGATCATGTTTTTGAGCCTGATCACCATTCTGTGTATAATAATCATAATAACAACAGTAGACATTAATATAGCGTGTTACTGCTTGCCAAGGCAACTAGATGGCACAGTGGATAACGTGGCAGGCCTGGAATCAGGACCTGAGATCAAATCTAGCCTCAGAAACTTACCATCTCTGTGTCTATGGACACATCACTTTACCTCTTTAGGCCTCAGTTTCCTCATCTGTAAAATGATCTGTAAAAGGAAATGGCAAACCAGTCTAGTATCTTTGTCAAGAAAACCCCAAATGGGGTCACAAAGAGTCAGACACAACTGAAATGACTGAAGAAGACTTGCAAAGCCTATTATATATTTATCAATTTATTTGACCTTTACAGCAACTCTGTGAGGTAGCCCCTATTAATAGCATCCTAATTTTACAGATGTTTCCCAAGTGACACAGTGGAAAAAACACTGGGCCTGGAGCCAGGAAGATCTCAATTCAAAACTTCAAAAACTTACTAGCTGTGTGACCCTGGGCAAGTAATTTAACCTCTGTCTGCCTCAGTTTCCTCAATTATAAAGTGGAGGTTATAATACTTCCCAGGATTGTTGTGAGGATCAAATCAGATCATATCTGTAAAGCACTTAGCACAGTGCCTGGAACATAGCAGGCACTAAATCATTGCTTGTTCCCTTTCCATCCTCTTATGCTGTGCTTGACCAGATAATTTTTTGAAACTACAATGAAGGCATTTACATTTATCATGATTAAATTTTGTCATGTTAGATTTGGCTCATTTCAGCCCAAGAGATTTTTTGGATTCTAAACATGTCATCCAGTGTGTTAGCTGTCCCTTCCAGCTTCATATCATCCACAAATTTGGTAAGCAGGTCATCACCGTCTTCATCCAAGTCATAAAAATATTGAAGAGAATAGGGCCAATGTTCGAATCCTGGGGTGTATCATTAGAGATCTTCTGGTTGATATCAATTCACTAATGAAAACTCTGAGCATGGTTATCCAAACAATTACATCTCTTCCTAACTGTATAATCACCTAGCCTACATCTCTTCAACTTGTTCATGAGTGATTGTCAGATGCCATGTTGAAATCCAGGTATGGCAGATCTACAAGATTCCATTTAAATACCCATTGAATAACCATCACCAAAGGATATGAAGGCAGCAGTAGATAGAGTGCAAGGCAGGAAGTCAGGAAGACTCATCTTCATGAGTTCAAATCTGGCCTCAGATACTTACCAGTTGTGTGATCCTGGGCAAGTCACTTTATCCTGTTTGCCTCATTTCCTCATTTATAAAATGAGCTGGAGAAGAAAATGCCAAACCACTCTAGTATCTTTGCCATGAAAACCCCAAATGGGGATCACAAAGAGTTGGGCACAATTGAAAATGACTCAACAGCATCAAAGGACATGAATTTTGTTTGGTAAAACATCATTTTTGTGCTCTTGTTGGTTCTAATGATCACTATTTGGTTACTTTCCAAATGTAGTCATTTATTTCCTTTAAAGAAGTAGAGTTTAAAGAAGGAGCAAGGCGTGGAGACATTGTGATATTGAGAAGCAGATAGTATTGTTGTGGGTATTGTGAATGGGATCGTAGACATCTTGCTGACCTTGAGATCATACAAACTATTGCATTTAACTGTAATGTTTTGGGTCTATCTTCCTCTCTTTTCTTGCCCCTTCCAGTTATAAAAAAGTCCTTTACTGATCCTATAATCTCTTCTCCTGGAAACTTATTGGATGAGAACATTCTCTTAAGTTTACTTAGGGAAATCTCCATATCAGCTTATAAATGTAAATTAAATTTCAATGCTAACACTTCTTCCCTTTTCTCTTCCCTTTTCTAATAAAATGTGTGTGTGTGTGTGTGTGTGTGTGTGTGTATGTGTGTGTGTGTATGAGGGTGGTTCCTAGGAACTTTAGCTCACTGAATTCTATTCAACATCATTTTTACCCTCCTTTCACATAGCATTCATTCCCCTTGAGTAAAAAATGAATTGCTACATCCTAATCAGAGCCTCATGATAGCCAGGCTCTCTCTGTCCTATTGCAAGGTACTTCTTTATTTGTACTTTGCAGTTTCCCATTTCTGGGAGACAAATCACAGGCCACCATTTTATCCATGATCAGGCTCCCATTTCTTCTATTTTGCCCTACCCATAATCCCTTAAAAAATCTTCTGGACACTCCAGTAGTCTGTGAATCTTAGTTAAATGTGAAGAGGCTATTTTAATTTGATCTTTTATGGGCCAGTGGGAGGTACTCATCTGACCTTAGTTTTCATTGGACACCTTTTTTTTTTTTTTTTTGGCATTAACCTCAAAGTCAGCTCCGTGGCAGTCAGTGTTAGAATTTCATCAAGGTTCACAATCCAAGTTGGCCATGGGTGAAATTCAGGATCAACTCTTTATCCTTGTAGGGGCACTGGCGTGTCTGAACTATTTGCTGAAGTGTGTGAAGTTCTGCAAATATTTTCTCCTGCGTTTATGGAATCCATTGCCAAAGTCTTTTTTTCGATCGATGGGAGAATGGGCAGGTAAAAGAGTTCATGTTTTTCAATGTTAGCTATTACTTGTATTCTTTCCATTTTAATCTCAAGAGTTAGGTGAGGTTATTAAGAACAGAGCATGTAACTCAGGTTGTTTTCATTTTTAAGGAAGGTATGGCTTAAAGTAGAGGGTAGAGAAAGAAAAAGAAGATAGAAAAGATTCTAGAACATTGGAGCTGCAGGACACCTCAGATTTTTACTTTCGATTTTTACAAGCATTTATTAAGCACCTACTATGTGCAAAATACCTTCCAAAGATTTCATTTTATTCTCATAACAATCCTGGGAGGTAGGTGCTATTATACAAATTTTACAGATGAGATGACTAAGTAAGAGGTAACTAAGTAACTTGTCCATGGTCACACAGCTAATTTGAACTCAGGCCTCTCTGATTCTAGTCCAGGGCTCTATCCAATAAGTCCCTAGTTTTCCCTAATGATATTAGGACGTTTGAATCCAATCCTTTCATTTTACTGATGAGGAAACTGAGATGAAATTACTTTCTTCAGGTCACATAGCTAGAAAGTGACATAGCTAGTACTTGAATCCAGGTATTTTGATATTTATTCCATTATACTATAGAATAAAATTCAGGGTAGTGTTATGAAAAGAACAGTGGTTTGAGATTTAAGACAACAAGGGATAGTCCTTCACCATCTTGTCCATCACCAACTTGTAGTATGATTTCAGGCAAGTGATTTTCCATCTCTGGGCCTTAGTTTCACAACTATAAAATTGAGGGGATTGGACTAGTTGATCTCTAAGGTTCTTCTCAATCAGCTTTAAGATTCTGATTTTATAAGAAAGATAAAAAATTATAAGGTGCCTTAACTCTAAATTTTTGGAAATAGATACTCTTAAGTCAACTTGTCTCTTTTCATCCTATTTATGAACGAGACTAGTCAGTCAATCTCCAGCTCTGAAAATTAAGATATTAGGGCTAGCAATTCTCTCTAGTCATGTAGTTTATTTCTTGTACAAAATGTTGATCAGATGCTACCAGGACATAGTAAAACTCTAACTACATGGCTGAGATTATATTAAAAGAGTCATGTATTTTGAATAACACTTCCCAAGACTTTTCTCCAATGTGATGATGTAGGCTAGGCAAGGGCTGGCCCCTGCAGCTAGGTACCAAGCAAAGCCAGTGACTAAGATAAATAGAAACTTGTAGAAACAATCCATAATATATGAATTAAGAGTAATTCTACGCAGCCTTAGCAAGGAGGATGACATTTCATGGAAACATTGTTGGAAAAAATGAGCTAATAGACTATTATTGCTAGTTAATATAATCGAATCACTGCTTTTTCTGGATTTATTCCTTATCCACATTAGGCCAAGATTATATTCTTTTTAGGCTAACTGGTTGATTTCCAGTATCCAAACCCCTTCCCCTACCAAGATAATATACACCATTTTATGGTATTCTATCTCTTCTGAAAAGTCATAGTGTAGAATTAAGATACAAAATGAAATACACACATGAATATCTCTAGCTGTATAAAGAGACTGACTGGCCTATGATTTAATTGGAATGCAGAATTCTCAAATGAGGAAACCCCCTCTACCAATCTAGGTTGGCATATTCTCTGTAATTTGTAGTTTTAGAGAGTTGGTTGCCTAGACCAATGGTATCAAGAAGGCTGCTCACAACCTTCCCAAGTGCAGCCTGAACCAGATAAAAATGTGATTGGGAAATATTTAACAAATGAAATAAAAATACAATAAAATATAGATATTTCAATACAACAAAATCTAGACATTTTTAAAATGCCAATATGCAGCCCACAGGAATCCTTATGTACCAATTAGTGGACCCCATTTTTTTAGTTGTTTGACAGCACTACAGTCTAGAGCAAAAAGAGTTTAAGTGATTTGATAAAAGACACAGACAGGACAAGACAGAGTCAGGACTTGTTTGGGGCTTTTAATGACAGCTCTCTATCCACTTATACCATGCTACCTCTCATGTCTCTGTGTGTATATTTGTGTACACACATGTGTGTATCTGTGTATACACACAAAACATGCACACATGAGAGGTGCTATGACATAATGGTTAAGAGCTAGCCTCAAAGTCAGGATGACTTAGTGCTGTCATTGACAGGTATTGGCTTTTTGACCCAGTGCCTCAGGCAACTGTCTAAAACTAAATCTGAGCTGATCTGCATTGACAGAGGAAGTTTCTTCACCAGTTTTCTATGCCAATGAAATCATAGGTGCCGGTAAAAATAAGTAAGATATATAGATATATACACACTCACACATACGTACAATACACACACTCACTCCCTGCCTGAAAATTTAGAAAATAGTGCAATTTGATGGATGGCTTGGCTCAAAGAGTAGTCTTTAATGCTCGTTATCCTGGTTAGTATTATCTACATTCATTATCTTGGAACCTCTCCTGGTTAAGAGTCTCTCTGAATGTAGCCAAGTTGAATCTTAAATAACAGATTCATAAATCATTACCAGGTCTCTTTGCTTGGAGAGCTCTATACCATGATGAATCCCAGAATTCCAGAGTTAGAAGGTACATCAGAAACTAACCCAACACATACATGAAAGGAATTCCCACCATAATGTGCCTAACCAGTGTCTGTTCAGCCTCTGGTTGGACACCTCTAAGGAGAGTAGAGTGGTCAGTAGGGTGTGATTTTTTAAGTCACTGAGAGTGCCTGTCTCTGCTAAGGCATCTGGTATTTGTATATGGTGGGGGGGAAGATGTAGAGAGCAAGGGTGATCTTCATGGGGGGGGAGGGAAGTACCCACAGCCAAGAAATCATTGATCCTTTAAGTTTTGAATGAAGTATTAAACTATACACACCCACACAGGACTAGAAACTCAAAACCATTGGTTCATACATTACTTGGAATTAAGGGAGTAGGGATAGCCTAAGAATCTGAAAGAAAATAATAGGGCAAAAAGCAGCAAAATTGTACTTCCAAAGCATCATCTTCACTTGTTTCCTTGTTTAGTGTTTGAGAAGAGAAAAAAATTTAAATGGAAATGGATGGGAAGCAAGTTTAAAATGAGTGTCATCAAAAAGATACTATAACATTAATTTATAGTGGATGAAATGGCCAAATTGTATGTTGAAGATGTTATATCCCTGGATTATGCAGGTAGAGAGCTTTGCAGAACACTTGTTGGTATTAAGGTTTTGTTTTTGTCATATAACCTTGATTTAGGAAAGATTATAGAATCACTCTAAGAAAAGGAAATGCCATTCTAAATGTGGGATAAGTCGATCTCTTCTCATATAGGCTGTAAGTGATAGACAATCTAGTCAACACGTTTAAGCAAATAAATAAGAATCTGATGATTATCGCAATATTGTGATATTAAGATAATCAGAGTCCTGGACCTGGAGTTAAGAGGAGCTTGTGTTTGGATTTTACCTTTGATACTTATTAGTTGTGTGACCATGGACAAGTCACAGTTAAACTCTCTGAGCCACAGTTTTCTCACCTATAAAATGGACTTGGATCTGGAAGATCAGTGTTTAAATCCTGTCTCAGATATTTACTAGCTGTGTAACCCTGGGCAGCTAGGTGACACAGTGAATAGAACACTGGGCTTGGAGTCAGGAAGACCTGAGTTCAAAATTGGCTTCAGAAAATTACTAGCTGTGTGAATGCAAGGCATTTAATTCCTGTCTGCCTCAGTTTCCTCAGCTGTAAAATGGGGATCATAATAGCAACTACCTCCCCAGGGTTATTATGAGGATCAAATGAGATAATATTTGTAAAGTGCTCAGCACAATGACTGGCACATAGTAGGTACTTAATGAATGTTTGTTCCCTTTCCTTTTTCCCCTTTCCCCGACTCCTTTCCCCTCTTGGCTGTTATATTTCTAGGGAAGCAGAGTGGTTCAGTGGAAAGAAATTGGATGTGGAGTCAGAGAAACTGAGTTCAAATGCAGTAATGATTTTTGCCACTAATGAACTGTGTAACTTTGTACAAAGTCACTTCTCCTCTCTGGGCCTTAATTTTCTCATCTGTAAAATGAGAGGAGTGGATTGAGTGGACCTCTAAATCCCTTCTGGCTCTAAATCTATGATCCTAGTATCCTGTTACTGTCTGTCAATATACTGAAATTCCCTTCTCCATCTATTCTTTGTACTAGATTATTAACAGGGCCTGTGAAAAGGAAAACTATTTTGCAAACCAATGAATGGCTCAATTGTTCTTAAAAAATGACACTACAGTGTGAACCAATAGAGATAATGAAAACCCATTGCCCTTGAGGGAGTGCAGGCTCTTCGGTCCAAATTTTTATCACTGTTGAGTCCCTGGTCTGAATAGAATGTTCCTTGAGCCTGAGATGGCCTCTTTTTGGAATGTCTCCATCTCCCCCAACATTTTTAACCTTTTTGTAAGGGGAGGTGAGATGGCTATTAATGTTAATCACATAGTTCATAGAGAGAGGCAGCTGCAGTGTAGGGAGAGCTATGGATTATCAAATGTAGAATGGAAATAGAGATGAAGAAAGTTCTGGAGAGGCAGAATAAAAAATTTGGATGTGAAATGAGGTTTAAAATGCTCTAAACTATTTTCTCCTTTTTCAGTGATCACAGGTGCTGGAGATGGAATTGGGAAAGCATACTCTTATGAGGTAAATTACCAGGAACATCTGTGTACTAGACTAGCATATTCCTGAAGATTGCTTCTATTCAGCACTCTCCTTCCATTTAGGACTTATTGTTATCATTATCGTGCAGACCCGAATGCCTAGTTAGGAGCTAGCTCTACATGTCACTCAGCAAAATCCATTGCTTACAGACAATTTCAAGGGTTAGGAGAATTTCCTTCTTTCCTTCCTTCCTTCTTTCCTTCCTTCCTTCTTTCCTTCCTTCCTTCTTTCCTTCCTTCCTTCCTTCTTTCCTTCCTTCCTTTCTTCCTATCTCCCTTCCTTCCTTCCTCTCTTCTTTCCTTCCTTCCTTATTTCCTTCCTTCCTTCTTTCCTTCCTTCCTTTCTTCCTATCTCCCTTCCTTCCTTCCTCTCTTCTTTCCTTTCTTTCTTCCCTCCTTCCTTCCTCTCTCCATTCATTCCTTCCTCTTTCCTTTCCTCCTTTTCTTTCTCTCTCCCTCTCTTCCTTTTTTCTTCCTTCCTCCCTCCCTCCATTTCTTCTTCCCTCTCTTCCTTCCTTCCCATCTTCCTTCTTTCCCTCTTTCCCTTCCTTCCTTCTTTCCTTTCTTCCTTTCTTCCTTCCCTCCTTCCTTCCTTTCTTCCTCTCTCCCTTCCTTCCTTCTTCTCTCCATTCCTTCCTTCCTCTTTCCTTTCCTCCTTTCCTTTCTCCCTCCCTTCCTTCTTTCTTCCCTCCTTCCTCCCTTTCTTCTTTCCTCTCTTCCTTCCTTCCTTTCTTCCTCTCTCCCTCCCTTCCTCTCTCCATTCCTTCCTTCTTCTTTCCTTTCCTCCTTTCCTCCCTCCCTCCCTTCCTTCCTTCTTTCTTCCTCCCTCCCTCCATTTCTTCTTTCCTCCTTCCTTCCTTCCTTCCTTCCCCCAGTGCCATGTGTTGTAATTGATTCCAAAGCATATTAAATGTGGTTTGAGAGGAATACCAATACAAAGAGATTTATACAAAATAACACTGTTGGGCACATAGTAAACCATTCAATAATCCATTAGATCACAACAACATTAAGTAGTGGCTCTAATATTTTCAGCTGATACTCATTCTCATAGTCTATAAAAGGAACATCCTATGATTTAGAGCTGGAGGGGAACCTTAGAACCCATCTAATTCAACCCCTTTATTTTGTAGATGAGGAAACTGAGGCCTAGGAAGGTGAAGTGATTTACTCAAAGTTACAAAGTTTTCAAATACAGCTTCTCTGACTCTAGAGCTCTTCCTCTTTCCATTACACCACATTGCTTTTCAAGATTGTAACCAAGACTAAAGCCAGGGAATTCTACCTTACTATAGGGCCCTAGACCTTGGAAGTCATCTGTTACTATAGTTGTCTAGACCCCACTATCAAGAGGTCCCAGGTTTCCCATGGCTACAACTGACACCAGCTTGACTCTTTCCAGTCTTTGGTATTAGTGAAAGATATTTGCCTTGTCCACCTTAGATGAGCCTATTGAAGTAAGACAGGATTAAAAATAAGAGGGGATTTGAACCTAAGCCCTTCTGAATTCATGTCCAGAATGCTATTTACTACACCAGGGGTTCTCAAAGTTTTTGGTCTCAGGATCCTTTTATACTCTTAAAAATTATTGAGGACTCCAAAGAACTTTTATTTAAAACGGTTATATCTATTGCTATTTACCATATTAGAAATTAAAACTGTCAATATTTTAAAATATTTATTAATTAATTAAACCCATTCCCTATTAACATAATTTTATGAAAAAATAACTATATTTTCTGAGAAAAAAAATAGAGAATAATGGCATTTCTTTAATGTTTTTGCAAATTTCTTTAATGCCTGACTTAATAGAAGACAGCTGGATTCCCATATCTACTTCTGCATTCAATCTGTTGTGATGGATTGTTTTGGTTGAAGAATATAAAGAAAATCTGGACTCACACATATATACATTTGGAAAAGGGAGGAGTATTTTAATAGGCAAATAATGTCTTACTATTTTTGAGAATAATTTTGACCTTGAGAACTCCTGGAAAGGGTCTTGGGTCCCAAGGACCACACTCTGAGAACTGCTATTGCCAGAACCTTATCTTGTTTCATTCATGTACTCCCCCTCCCCCATCCTTTTTCTTCCTTTTCCTCTGTCCCTGACAATCCACCCTTCCCCCAATTAAGATTTTGAGAAACTGACAGCTCCCTTTCACTGCCATTCTCTTTGAGGAAAGAATTATTTCTGAGGCCTTTTCTAATTCAGGGATATTAGGGTTCCATGATTTTGGGATTCTGGGAGTAGATTAAGTTTTGAGATTGCTGTTTTTCCTTGACCATGGAGCTAGTCTTTTTTTACCTACCCCTCTCCCTTCCTCCCTACTTGTATTCCTCAGCCAGGGCAAGAGGAGCCTTCAGTCAATAAGTTAGTCAGACAGTCAAAAACATTTGCTAAGAGAGCACTATGTTCCAGGCACTTCACTTTAGAGCTGGGGATATAAAGAAAGGTAAAAGACAGCCTTTACTCTTCTGAAAAAGACTACCCAATGGAATGTAAGCTCATTGAGGGCAGTAACTTTTTTTTTTTGCCTTTGTACCCCTCTCAGGACCTTGCATATTAAACAAACTTAACACATGCTTGCTGAACTGAACAGGGCATATGGTGTTTGGCCATGCTAATAAACATGACTGTCAGGTAGCCTTCTAATGACCTTAAGAATTTTTTTAAAGTATGTTTCTATTTTTTTTTTTTTGTCAATTTTAAGTTGCCCCAAAATTTAGCTTGGTTGCCTTCAACCATTGCATCACAGCAATCAGTAACTTTTGCATAGCAGTGTTAGTTATCAGATATTGGATAATAATTTCTCTTTGAATTACACTTGGGAAATCAGCCTTGACAGAGAGAATAGTTATTGTAGGGAACGATTATCTCTAAGTCCATTTATCGACTAAATATTTCACTAAAGCTACTTAAAACCTCACCGAAGGCAACATTATTCTCTCAAGTTATATTTCCTTAGAGCTTCCCTTAGCAATGATAATGGCTTTTGATCAAGACGTTAAATCAATACAGAGTACGCTCCATTGTACATTATGTTCTCTCCATTCTTGGACTGAATTAACCTTGGGCTAGGCAAATCCTGTGGGCAGACCTGTGCTCCCCAAGAATAAAGCAGAAGGAAAAAAAAAGAATAAAGCAGAAGGAGGCTCCATGTCTTTCAGTCACTATGCTCGGCTTTTTTCTGTTTACATAAGAAAATCTCGCTTGGTGTGGAGTTTTTGTCTTTATTGGGGGTAACTTATTTATCCTTGTTCATTCTGCCATCTTCAAATTCGTATATTATTTTTTGTCCTCTAGAAATGTGTCCTAATCTATTGCTATGACTTTTCTTAAAATAAGAAAAAGAAAGGTTTTGCTTTGGGAGGTTTTTTGATTAAGTTCACAATAGAAAAAAAGGGAGGGATAGCAATGGAATGAATCCTGAAAGTGGGGGAAAGAGGCTGTTATTGGGGGTGGGGAGGATACCTGTAATACTGACTGAAGCTTAAATATATGCAAAGTGCTTGGCAAACCATTTGAACAGAATCCTAAACCAAGGCAAAAAAATCTCCTTTTCCATCTCTTTCTAAACTCTTTCACTTGGTGACATTAGCTACTCCCATGACTGCAATGCACATCTCTATATAGTTCATACATCCTCCAAGCTTAATTGTCTCCACCCATTTGTGCCAACCCAAGACTCAGCAAATGCAAAACTGAAGTCATCTTCACTCTAAAACTTTTTCATAACTTCCCTATTTCTGGTGATGTTAGCACTATTTTTCAGTCACCTGGGCTCAAAACCTCAGTCATTCTTGAGACACAGTAGGCAATATTTTAAGTACCTGTATATAGAGGCTAAATTATAATAGCTAGTATTTGCGTTAGGCTTTAAGGTTTGCAAAGCCCTTAACACATCTCATTTGATCCTCACAGTACCCCTATGAAGTAGGTATCATCCCCATTTTACAGATGGAGAAAGTAAGGTTGAGAGGTTAAGTAACTTGCACAAGATCACATGACTATTAAATGTCTGAGGCAAATTTTGAACTTGGGAAAAATCACTAATTACTGGTAAAAAAAAAAAAATGAGACCCAGTGAATGAGAATTGGAAACTGTCCAGTTGTATTATTTCGGAGAACAGAAAAGCCTCCAAAACAGACCAAAATTACTCTATGCCTGGTTAATAATCCAGGAAAGTATACCAGTTACGATTAAGCACTTAATTTCTGTCAGGCACTGTGCTTTACAGTACTTTGGAGATACAAAGACAAGTGAAAGTCCCTGCCCTCGAGGAACTTATAACCTAATATATTCCTGTAGCATAAATGAAGAATTTGAAAGTCAGCTTGGGTGTGTGTGTGTGTGAGAAAACAGAGTTGTGGAAGTAATAGAGGTTTCTATTTGAAGACAACTGTTGTGTCCTCCTAGGCCTAACACTCCCCAATTCTTTAACCATTCCTCTTGTATCATGAACTTAAGACCCTTACCTGACCTATTTGCCCTCATATAGCTTCTCCTTGCTCTATTCACCAAAAGTGAATTTAAACTAATGAGAAATCTCATGGATTAAATTATTCCCTATCTACTTTCCCTTAACATTTCTCCCAAATTCTCTATTGTTTTACCACAAGGAGTGTTTGGTTTTCATTTCTCAAAAAGAATCAGATAGGTATTACAATTTAACTTTTCAAAAGAATGTCCAAAGTCACATCACCAAGAAGATGGTGTATTAGACATTTCCTTCAGTCCTAACTCACAGAAGAAAAAATGTGCACTATATGAAAAGTAATTATAGATGATTCCACAAGAGAAAAAAAAGATCTCTGACAAGGTAAAGGCCTTATTAATTAACACCAGAGAATGCTAATCTTTAAAGTTCTCATTAAGAACTTCATTCTGACTGACCTTCAAATTTTGTAGAGTTTTGGAGTCCACAAGTGTGTAACATTGCATATAATCTATGATTCATTTTTTGATGTATCAATCAGTT